GTAAATAATCGATTAATGCAAAGGGATTAATCGATTAGAAGGCTCTGAGAGGACTAATCGATTAAATCAAGAGGAATAATCGATTAATGGAATGCAAACGACAGTTAATCGATTAAACAGAGAAATATAATCGATTACCAAAAGAAATAATGGGCAAAACACAAAGGGCCCAAGCCAGTTGCGATGGAGAGCAAATTGGCGTAACACTCGTTGTTTGAGACAACGGGAATCAAAAAACGCTCCTCCTCTTATTCAATGAATTTGAATAAGGGAGTAAAAGTGAGTCCAAAAATTATTTTGTGTGTCAAACGATGTACACGAAAAATATTTGAATAAAATATTTTTGCTTACCAAAAATATATCAAAATAAATATTTGATAAATGTTTGACCCACTTTTTGTAACTGACTCAATAAAACTATTTTGAACAGTTAAAAAGATTTTTCAACTGACTCCAAAAATAAGTATAATTTTTATTTTGACTCTCATAAAAATAATTTTGGAGAGAAGATATTTTTGTCATCCTTACAATAATTCCTAAGACTCAAATAAATAAAAAGTCTTCGGAAATCTTCTACTCCTCCGAGTCCTCCGTTAGGCGCTCCGAACGTGTCTCGGACTTCAACAAAATCCTGTGCACCTTCTTGAATGCTTCAAGGAATGACACTTCAAGTCTTCGTGATTGTCGCTGTAGCACTTTAATCTTGACTTGAATAAATTGTGTTTGTCAATTATCAAAACCTGTGAGTCAACACTAAACAACACAGAAAGGATTGAACTCATGCATTCCAACACTCTCAACTCTTAAAACTTTTATGTACTTTTTCACTATGTAATTTTTTTATTTTATTTTACATCAACATTCAAATAAGTTGGACCAAGACTAACATCATTGTAAACACCAAAAAGTAGAGTATTTAGGGACATATATCTTTTCGGAGTAAAAAACGACACTTTTAAAATGTACTCCCTCCATCCCAAGTTCAACTGTCTATTGTTGTTTACGAGTTTAATTGAAATTATTTTTTGTTTAATTTATTTGAAAATTGGCATGGAATTTAAAAATTATATACATACATACATATATATATATATATATATATATATATATATATATAAACTACATCACAAGCTCTACAAGACAAGATGTGACAAGACTATACTATTTTCTGAAACAGGTGGCAAAAATGGATAAAGAATGTAGTTAAAATCTTATACTATAAAGAGTAAACATGCAAATTAAATTGGGACTTAAGAATTATAATTTTGGTATGATTTTCTAATTTTGTTTTTAGTTTATAATAGGTCAAAATATGATGTATAAGATAATTAAGTCATAATTAGAAAATTATACTAAAATTGTACTCCCTTTGTCCCATTTTAAATTGCATATTTGCCTTTTTTCTCCGTTCCAAAATAAGTTGCATGTTACTTTTTATCGTAAACTTTTAAGAGTAAAATACCTAAACTACCCTTAAAATAAGTCACTATTCTCCACCTTATCATCTCATTCATCGTCAGCCCTCCTAAAAAGTAATTGCAATTTCAAAAAATCAATTCTATTTTTTCTTTTCCTTAAATATGCCCAAAAATCAAAACAGGTTATTTAAAACGGAAAGGAGGGAATACATTTTTAAAGCGCACCATGTTTCAACTATGAAAATTTTATGGGACAGAGGAAGTGTATAATACTCGAAGGGAGGCTTTGAGGGGTCACGGAAAATAAAAATAATCAATTTTACATATTTCTAATGTCATGAGAACCATGGTGATGGAAAAATAGCATGCCAATTGCACAATACTCTATCCATGGTGACTTTTTTTTCTTGGAAGAGCTCGGGAATAGATGCTTTTTTTAGGTTGCTTTCATCCTTAATTTTTTAGTATAATTTTTTAGGTGTAATTTAAAAAAAAACATATTAATAATTGGACTACATGATGAATGTTGACATTGAGGTCGAATTATAAAAGATTTTTTACTCTCTACACAAACTATATCTTCTTTTTTACTTTTTTTTATTTCAATCAATTGTTGGATTACCAATTAGCTTTCCTCTCACCTCGTAGAATTTTTATGTATTTTTTCACTATGTAATCTTTTTATAAATAAAAAAATTTACATCAACATTCAAATAAGTAGAATCAAAACTAACATCATTGTAAGCACAAAAAATAGAGTATTTAGGGACAAATGAAGAATATCATACTTCCTCCATCCCATAAATCTTTTCAAAGAAAAAGACAAACTAAAACATTGAAATATACCTAAATAGGTGTTCCATATTTTTATTCTCGAAATAAGATTTGAAATACATTTACATTACCAATCATGACCATTTAAACATTACCCTAATGCAAACTCTTATTTAGGGAATAAAAACATTAAACTCATAATTTGGCACTTACCCTATATTTTAGTCTTATTTAGAGTGATTTTTCTTTTCAAAGTTAAAAAATGGTAAATGAAAATGTTTCATTTTTATATTACTTTCTAATTTTGTCTTATATAAGATAGTCAAGTCACAATTAGAAAATTGTACCAAAATTACACTCTTTTAAGGTGCATTGTTTTTCAACTATGAAAGTATTATAGGACAAATGAAGTATATAGTACTAGAAGGGGGGCTTTGGGGGGGGGGGGTACAAATTCCCAATATCAAGGGAACCATGGCGATGAGAATATAGCATCTTTTTGCACAATACTCCAGTCTCCATCCATGTCTCAACACTAGTCTCGTTTGTGTTTGCGCATTGTTTAAGATAGATGAAGTGAAGTGATGGGAAACGTGAGGCAAGAAAGGTTAGTAGATTTATGAATGTGCTTTTTCCAATAAAAAACGAGACTAGTAATATGGAACAGCTCAGAATAAAAATTGAGAGCACAAGAAAGAACATGGCAGGCTGTGACAATAGCACCAATCAAAACCAGAATGAAGCGAGGTGAATTTTAGCAATTTGGGGCACGAATGTACAGAGTCTTCCTAAAGAATTACCCTAGCTGAGGGGAAAAAATTGAGGCATAGGTATATTTACAAGAAAGCGGTTTTTAGTTGAAGCATGCCTCGTATGATGTATAAGAGTATAATTGTATATATCACCTAGGAGTTTCACATGGCTGACTATTCAATGCAGAACTTGAGTGAATGGAAAGCAAAGATCCATTGTCTTGAGAGGACCTACCCCACTTCGGCTCTGCATCTGACGGTTCGATCACATATACTGTACCATCACTCATCCCCAGAGCAAATTGGTACGGGTCTTCCGGGTGTGCGGCAATCACTACAGGGTAGGTGCCACTGCTGCTGATGATGATGATGATGTGAAAGTAACATCAATGTCAAAGCTAACACTAACACTATCTTTGGTTCAAGGAATTTGAACGGGTAAAGAAAATAAAATGAGATGGAAAATAAATTTTCTTGTTTGGTTAGAGAAGAAAAGAAAAGAAAAGAAAGTTAAAGGAAAAGAAAATGAGAAGGTAAAATATACTAAGAGCAACAACAACCCAGTTGGATCCCACGAGAGGGAAATTCAATTTCCTTCCACTTTGTGAGGAAAATGAGAGAAAATTGTCTGCTTTTCTTTTCCTTCCAAATTCCGTGAACCAAACATAGTGTTAAACTTCATGGATCAAAGTGGTATTTTTAAACTAACAAAAAAAATCACCGACTATGACAGCAAATTTGTATGCAAAAAAAAAATAGAGGGAAAATGAAGCAAATTCAAAATACCTGCCAATAGATGTAGAAATATAAGCAGAAGATGCAATTTGACACCGAAGTCCTAAACTGTCTGCATCAAATATACCAATTGCACCATCAGAGAATCCAGCTAACACCAACGTACCATCACATGAATATGTTGCACTTGAAATAGACGCAGCAAGTGAATCTCTCGGGTACCACTGTATCATAAGTTCATTTCCATGTAAGGCACATGAATTCGACGTATACTCGTAGAGTGGCACTTAGACAGAGCTTGGGTACATAGAAAAAGCACGAGACAGAAACTTACTGAACGCATAGACTCGAGTTGAGTATCATAAATAGAAATCTGGCTTTCATGAACTACGAGGATGTGTGATTGATCATTACGGAATTGAACCCTTGTTTCTCCAACCGGGGGAGTGGGGTGTCCAGGGGCTGCCTGTATGACCCTTGACTTTTTCTTTTCCCATCCATCCATGTTCCAGATACATAGCTGCATACGGGTAGAGAGAAGCATGAATCATTTCCAACACTAAAAAAACTACAAGTACTAAAGTTAGTTAGGGACCTGAAGAGAACTCAACTGCAAGTATATTCTTTTAAAGTACAGTAATATTATCTACATTTTAGATTAGTGATCACCTGCGCATCTGCTCCTGAAGAAATCAGAACATTCAAACTCTGAGAAAATGCAAGCCCTGTGATCCGTTTCTGATGACCCTTGAGCTTTATGTTAAGCTATGGTAGATGAAAGCAAGAACATGAACATGACGTGTTGGTAAAATCTTACACTAACATAGACAAAGAGCCCAAGCTCAAGATCAACGACTTCAATATGCACATTCATAAATCAACTACAGAGTATTTCTTTATTTATCATTAATTCATAATAAGCTGCTTTGATCTCACAAAGAAAGAAATATAGCAAGACACGAAGTTAGTCTGAAACTCAAGACATGGGTTCTGAAACATTCTAGAACACTTTTTCAGTACCCTAAAGAAATGCACTGCAATGATGTTTATAAATGAAGAATGTATCCTCCAAAACGGTTACCTTATCAACCCTGGCATTATATATATGTATGGTGGAGTCCTCCATCCCCACAGCAATAACATTATTGTCCTGAGGGTGAAATGCCAAATAGGTGGCAGCAGGAGGTGGTGGCATGAAAGTCTTCATGACCTGGCAAGACGTTATGACTTGAGTTATGTTATTAATCTAAGAAAGAAACTAAAAAATTTAGACTAGAAAAACAAACTGCTTCCCAAAACAATAAAAGGAAAGAAAGGAAAGGCGATGAGCATTTACCTTAGAGGACATCATGTTAAACAGGGAAACTTTCCCACCAGAAGCAGACATGACATAGGAATCATTCTTAGATAAAGCAATGCATGAAGCACGCTCTTCAACTAATTTTACATCACTTAGATCATTTGACATGAGAGCTCCACTGTTAGGCTGCCATAAGAGTGGTACAATCGAAGCAGATGACTGAAAGTAAAGAAGCAATATATTAACCTGAATCATCAAGAATGAATGAGAAATTAATGTGAACAGGAAAAGAAAAGACAAATATAACCTTTCCAGATGGGTTACGCTCACTTTGGGGCCACCTCCAAAGCTTATGAACCCCATTGGAACATAATGCCAGCAACATAAGTCCAGTACTTGTATAGAGCAGCCGCACAACCTAGGGTTTCAACAATAGCTTCTTATTTCAAGTATATTCAGATAAAAATCATGAAAATAACAGTCCAAGAACGGTATGTGATTGAGTAATAAAATAGATAACCACAATACTAGTTTCAATTTGAAAGAAACACGATAAAACATTCAGTGATGAATCAGATTTCTGCATACCTTGCTTGCAGTTAGTGGATCAGGCAATTTTAAAGACTTAAGTTTAGAAGAGTCAGTTATGTCCGGAAACTTCCAGCTTTTAGCTTTGTCAGCATTGTCTACAGTCCTAGGTTTTGCATCAGAGAGCATGCTGCTTTCAATGGTGGCCTATAGCTATTTCCAAGTCAGTAAAGATCCAACAATAGGAAAGAGAACTGTGCAATCAAAGAAACATTGATAACCTGCATTCTGAAAATAATAAAAAAAACTAGGTGAACTAAAATGGCATAGAAACCCAACTGACCGGATTGCCTATGGACATGGATTGTTGAATTCTCTCAGCGCGTTCCAGCATTGGAGCTATTGCCTGCAGAGCAAAGTTTATAAGGTTACTCAAATTATACATTTGAGCTCCAAAGTGAATTGTACCTAAAAGAGTGACTCATGTATGGAAGAAATTAATTAATTTACTAAAGCCAAAGAAATATTACCTTTATATTGGCAACTTCAGAAAGACCACGAGTACCCTCAAGTTGCCTATTCTCAAACATCTCAAGCACACTCTGCCCATCATTATTTGCTAAGATTTTGATTCCATTGTCAATGGTTGTAACAGCAAGTAAAGACCCTTCCTTATTGAACCTTAGTCTAGGGCTAGCCTGCATAAGGAATGTCAAATATGGTATCTGCATTGTGCAATATAAGCGCAAGTACCACACTAGAACAAGCCAAATACACAAAGGAACACTCACAGGCAATCCACCATCAGCATCGGTAAATGCAACCATGTTTATACTGTCCATTTCCCAAAACTTTATTTGAAACTCATCTCCAGCGGCTAGGAAACGGTTTCTTGTTGTGTCAAATTGCACAACTCCTAAAGAACGCTTCTTGAAACCAGTGTACATCCTCTTGATAGTTCCCTCACTCTCGTTCCACTCAACAAGGTACGATTCCCCTTCTTTACTTGTTCCACATGAGAAGAGTCTGAATGGGAAATGGTTTTGATACAGATAAGGCTACTAATTAGAAAAATTCTTAAAATGCATCTCCCATTATGGCAGTATCCTGCTGATCGACAACATGAAGTTTTCATGACATGTATAGCACTATAGCTAGACAATTGGGAGACGACAATTCGATTAGCATGTAACTCAAGCCGTCAGCTCACGCTTAAGGCCTCTTCTGAATGTAAATACACCCAGGAAAAGCATTATTAGATTTGAACCTAAATATACAAAACTTTGCAAGCAGTGACCTAAGAAACTGAGACAAATGCTTCCATAGTTCCATATCTAACGTATGGTATAAATATTTTGAAAATCAATAATCTAAACTGGGAAAAGTTGTTACAGAACGGTTATACTCTTGACTGCAAAGTTTTAACTGGACTTAGGCAATGAATATTCATATAACAGACTCCAACTGAAGCTGGCAGTTGTTACAGACTTACAGGACAGTTATACTCTTGCCTGCAAAGTTTAAACTGGACTTAGGCGATGAATATTCATATAACAGACTCCAAGTGAAGCTGGCAGTTGTAGATTCAAGGTTGCCTCCAATTTCTAGAGAAAGTGTGTCTGTCAAACTGACACCATATTGACTTCCAATTTACTAACCATTTGTTCTCTTCAAGGTACATATTAATTGCATAGTGCAGATGGAATCCCATCCACTCCTCCGCAATAGCAAAAGGTTAGCATTTGATCTTCAAAGTGATTACAAACTACAATTGTCAATTAGTTGCATTGAAATATTGAGTACATAGAGCTTTCAATGTATCCATGAGTTGGGATGGAATCCCGTACCCTATTAACTCTTTCTCATAGTAGACTTCAACCTCAATCGTGTTCGTTTTGTAATGCAATTTTGTGAAGTGATCTTAAGATTCTATATTTATATGTCAACTGCCTATGATTATATTGTAGCGGAAAAAAATAACCAACTACATACTTCATTCAAATAGAGTTAGTTGTAGGACCTCGGGACAATTGCTGCACACCTGGCCAACATTAGCTTCATCCTTTCCCTAAAAAATGTTAACTCTTTAGCATAATACTCCCTCCGTCTCAGTGTTTGTGTCAACTTTAACTTTTTGGGTCATCCCACTTTTTTTTGCACTTCACTTTTTTAGTAAGGCTCAAAGTGCTCAATTTTCTTTTACCCTTTACTTCCATTCTTATCTCTTTCACGGAAAATGCTAACCCTAAATCGAGGCCTGCAGCATTATCCAAAATATGCCACCGCGAGTCTGCTTTCTGCAAATGATGGGTCGAGGTTTCTGCAAATTACACCATAGTGACAATATTTACACAGAATAAGTTATCAAACAGACAATTTCTGGAAACAACGGGTCCGATTTCTGCATGTCCAATTCGTCATTGTCGATTTCTGCGTTTGATTTGCCAAGTCCAATTTCTGCATTTTAATATAAAAAACTAGAGGCATTTGTGGTCAAAGTTTGGAGCAGAGTTGTCGGAAAGGTGGGAAAACTCCTCCTGATGACCAATAGTTGAAGAAATAGAGTGACAAAGGTGTATATTGGAGGGTTATTCCATGTCTATCTGTACGTGCCTCAAAATATGGTGGCCAATGATTCAAAAGTGACGACTATGAGATTAGAAGGCAAATGGTGAATGTCAATGGAGGAAGAGGGCAGTGAAACTAAAGGTTGGATATCAATGTCAGAAGACGGTGGTGGGGATGGCATGGGGGGTTATCAAAACTACGTATTTTGAACAGAGGTACTTTAGTCTTTTGCCCATCCTTTTCTCCTTCTCTTGGTATTTGTGCCAAAAACAAAACCGGACAAAAATACTGAGACGGAAGGAGTATTACTTGGATTTAATGTTGCAAGTTTTTTATATATAATTAGTTAAAATAGTACGAGGAACACCACCATATGTAATATGTTGACAGAACTTATTACATCTTGATCTCTAGTAATGTAAGGAAACATAATATTTTTTTCTCATGTTTGCTCCCAATTACCTACAATATTATGACACTCATTTTTTTGTTAGTCTTTTAAATTCTCACTTTTGATAGATGACCTTCTTTTTTGGGCATTTTTTGTCCTTCCAACTAATAACTCGGTCACCTGCAACTGGATTTAAAACATTCTACTCCTATTTAAGAGCATATGCATATTTCTACGCTTGGAAACCCTAACAAAATCCCAATGAAATAAGAAATAAAGATAATGAGGGGATCAGGAAAAGACAGCTAGACAACACCTTAGAAAGTCTTGTTTCTATATACATTTTGTGAATCTTATGTAACTTGCATTAAGTTTTACCATGTGAGTTCAAATATACATTTATATTTTAAATGATACTCTTTGCCTTTGAAATGACTTTACACTTTCCTTTTAGGGATGTCTAAGAATCAACTTTACATTTCTCCATTTTCCTTTCTAAGAAACAGTATGTGGACATCTTTAATTCTCTCTTCCAAATCAATTTCAACCACATACTTTTCACTTTTTCCCATTTTTCAACACTTCTCTAAATTTCTGTGAAGTCAAACTGTAAGATTTTTTTAAAAACAAAAGTAGTAGAATTTACTTCTTTTCTTATTGACTTCAACAACAAAACATCAGTAAGGTCCCACAAGTGGTATCTAGGGAGGGTGGGTGCAGACAATATAGTGTATATGAACCTTACACGTACTCAAAAAGTAGAGACCTTTTTTTAAAAGACTACAGGCTCAAAAAAACATAATGTAAGTTCTTATTATGACAATGCATCTGCACCTCAGGTCCTCAACTCTGAGTCTATGACCCAGCAGTCTAATATTTTGTGTAGATATTACAAAACCAAGATGATCCTAGGAGCCCAAAAAACTAAAACTGTCCCGATATTTGGAGGTGCCTCAAAAAAGAAAAGTGTTTTGAGTGGTAAGACACTTCATCTATGCACGATGCATCATGCATTGAAGTCATCATGGAATGAGGTTAAATTAGTTTCAAATTCTATCCATCCTACAATAAACATTATAGTTTCACTTATACGACCTTGAATATATGGCTGCTCTTTCACCGATCTTCTGTTTCCAATTTGCTTTGAGCAGACACAGTTGCCAGTTAAATTGAAATTTTTTATATTTTACTTTACTTTTGAACTATATTTTAATTTTAACTAAATCCAATGAATTCCCTTTTTTATTTAAATCAAACAAGACAATTTATTGATTCAAACATTTACTGGTTGAGTGAGAAGTCTATGAAGTTTCTTGAAATCTAGTGGGTTCCTGTTTCCATTTTATTAGGGAAAAAGGTTCATATTTATCTTAACTTTTGAAGTAAATTTATGTATTGAGAATTGATGTCAAAACATTGTTGTGCATATAAATAATTTCTCCGTCAGATATGTAAGTGTGCAACGCATGCCTTATTTCTCCTTGTGTGTTTGTGTGTAGGACTACATGCGTGCAAATTTTACTAGTGTTCAGACTTCAGAATAGTATGATTAGGAATACTGGATATATACATGATCCATAAATATGATAAACAAGTCAACAAATTCTTCATTGAGTGAAATCCAATAGCGCCGAGCATACCTAGTACCATCAGCACTATACACCATTGTTGTGCACCAAAGTCCAGGTGCATCATAATCCACTCGTGACCCCATGCAATCAAAAAGCCAAGCTTTTATTTTACCATCAATTGCAGTGGAAAATATGAACTGCAAAAAACAGTACAGAATCATTATTTTAACTTAATTATCAAAACAGATCAGAGTATTATTAAGAAATCTGTTAATTATAAAAGCATTCTGGTCAATTTAAGACCGCAATATCCCTCTTGTAGAAGCAAAGTAACTAGCTAGGGAAATTGCCTGAATGCTCTCTTTATAGTGCGGGCAAACAGAATAAACTGGAGCTCCATGCCCTTCAAATGTGTACTGTCTACGACCAGCTATAGCATCCCAAACCTAATCAAGAAGGAATGAGAGTTTAAAAAAAAATCAGGACCTTTATATACCCCCTTTGTCCCATATTTATCTTCATCTTTACTATTCACAAGTCAAACGATATATTCTTGTCACCTATTTTCATTTATCATTTGTTACAATAATATAGTCATAACACATCTTGTTTTGTAAAACTTTTGACATAGTTTTTAGATGTATAAATTTTACTTTTTAAACTATACACTAATATTTAAATAAATTGAATTGAAAATGACTTCGATAAAACATCATAAACTGTTGAGTGAAGCTGATGATGGGATGGAGAGAGTACAAAAAGTTGAGGGCTTATATGTCAGGAAACACTAACAGGTTCAGAAGGTTCACACCTTGATTAACCTGTCATCACCACACGTCACTACGCAGAGTTGCTTATTAGGATATGCAAAGGCAATATCATTAACCCCGCCAATATGAGCTTCAATCTGCAAAGCACCAAGTGTCAAAAGATGGTTTCGGGTTAATAGATACACACACACCTATACACCACAATAACCAAGGAAACAGTGTAGAAGCAAGGGCGTGTGTGAGGGAGGTTCTTAGGCTTACTTCTAAATGCTGTCTCAACTCTCCTGATGAACTGTATGTATACATTTGAATTATATGCTTGGAGAAAGCGACACCTATAATTGAAAACAGAATAGCATAAATTCAAAAACATTTGGATTTCCTATAATGAGCATGCTATGAGAATTGAAGAGAGTTTTTCACTATAAAACATACCAAGTATAGCTCCATCTGGTCCCCATACACATCGATTGACAGATACAGTTGCATCTTTCACCAAAGCTGTCTGGATGATAAGCAATCAAGATATTCTATTAGGTGGAAATACTGCTATAACTAAATTAGTCATCAGCTTGGGGTCTCATATGCACAGAATTGGATTACACCTTAAACATTCAACTCATTACAGCCAATGTCATTAAGGTAACTTAGAACTCTCCAGATGATACCCGTTTGCTGTCAACTCAAAAAGTATAAGTAATCCACAGTCGCAAAAGTGATATTCTCATTTCACCTTGTGCATACAACTTACAAATGGTATCCATTTTCATGATGTAATGATGCAAAGACTTCCTTCTAATCACTATTTAAGTTTCTTCTTATCTTAGAGATTGGAGAAGGTCGCAGAGACTCACCTGTAAAGGCATTGAACATGCTGAGAGATTCCACATATTGAAGTTCTTATGTGCTAACCTTTCCAGTGAACCAACCTCCCAAATGCTTATGTCACCAACATTTGTTCCAACTACAAAGTCAAAAGTCAATTGATATTATACACACACACACATATATATGAATTTTATAAAATAGGAGAGAAAATTTATGCACACGAATACAATTAACTAACAACAGCGTTTGTGTGTACTTTTTTACTCAATAATGCCATGTATATATACTATATATAACTGGTTGTTGTATATACTATATAAGCAGTGACATTCCTTTTGAGCAATATATTGTTCTCAATCTAAATTAGAAGTTGACTAAATTGTTCAGTTAAAAATTCGAGTACATTTCACACTATAAAAATCTCAGCTGATATTTAAGTATAGCATCATAGATCAACCTAAAAGAATAGTATGTTGTTGAGGATGGAAGTCCATGCTCATAACACTCGACCCTTGGCTAAGATTCCGCATCACTGTTTTGGGAATTTCATCTGAGTAGATATTTGGCAGATGCGTTGTGCTGGAGAAAGAAACCTAGAGTACAATATGCAGCAACCAGGATTATGAACCAACAAGCAACATTCAAATTGTAATATTGAAAGTTGAAACCATAACTTATGCACAAAGCGCACCTCATCAGATTGGCCAGCTCGAATTTTTTTCATTATATGCTCAGAGTCATCTGTTTGATCGTCCATTCCATGAACACCTGAAGAGGCTCTAGGATGTTTAAGGAATGCAGCTAGAGAAAAATTTGGAAGCAAGAAATGGCTGTCAGAACATGCATAGCTTTTCCAAAAATAGAATTCATGCCAAACATTTAAAGACAACTAACCGGCACCAGCAGGCTGCACAATTCCTGGAGGCCCCGGGGAAACTGCAGCATGGGGCATTGCTGGATTTGGACTTGTCATCCATCCAGCAATTGCACTTGGAGATGGAGAAACAACTAGCTGGAAAGGCTGCAATGAATATCTCAATGCTTCAAACAAGTGGGACATTATGCAATAGATTTTCAGCAACATGCAACCCATAATCAAATCATCTGTAAAGATATGGGCTTTTTTACTTACACTATGAACTCCAAGAGGAGGAAAGGCTCCAGGTTTTGGAATAGGGCCGAGAAGAGGAGCATTAGTAGGTGGAGGAGGCCGAGCTCCATTGCTAGAAGCACAAGTGTGATCAGTAAAAAGTGTTTTGATATCAGGGTTAGGGCGTGGGTTCTTGCAGAGTTGATGTTGCCAGTTAAGGGTGGAATATAAAAAGCACGAAACTTGATAGCACATACTCCCTCTGTTTTCTTTAATTGTCCGCTTAGTTTTTGAAAAATACAATGAATTAAAATGTAAAATATACCATTAATTTGTATTGAAAAAAACTGCTTCCTTTGTCCCTGATTCATGTCCCACGTTGACATTTCTTGGTCCAAGTGTACAGACTATGACCATAATATGGAGAAAAAATACAGTCATAATGTAAACTTAAACAAATACAAAGTATTTAGAATATCATATACTCATAATATTTGTTTATGTATAAATAAAAATATCATAAGTCAAGGTGTTGCCTTCGAGATCATGAAAGCTCAAGCTGGGATATATATTAGGGACACATGAAGTACTATTTATAAAAAAAAAATGCTTATATTTTTCTAGAGAGAATATTTGTCAAAAGTTTGACATGAAAAGTGAAAAAGACAAATAATATTGAACAAAGGGAGTGGATAGCACCATATATATATTAAAGATTCAAGAAAGCAACCATTAGTCCATTAATATGTGAATGTGGACATTTAAAGTAGACAACAACAACAGTTTATAAAGAATGTAGAAATTTAAAGAAAATATATTAAAGATTCACGGAAACAAATACTTTAGTAAATTAAATAATAGAGAGTGGCATAAAATTAGTGTAAAACCTTTGATTTATCAATGTCCGCAATTGAGAAGCTTTAAATGGAGGTAAAGTGAGCTTGTCACGAAACAAAGGATTTGCCTCTATGAGCCTTTTAAGTTCAACCAACATAATATTTCTTGCAGACTCTGTGTCCCCATATTTGGAAAGCTTTTCATTCTTCCTGAAGAAATAAATGACAAGGAGTCATTAGAAGTAGATAGAATGCTGATGTAGATAAATATAAGGTGTTGTGCTCCATGAATGTACCTAAAGTTTTCAAGTGTCAGTAACTGGGTAATCTCCTTGAAAAGGTCTTCATTGGAAGAGGCAAAAACTTTTAGATCCTTTATAAGAATATCAACAGCTTTTACTCGATCTTGCCTGAGAAAAAAAATCATAATTTTAAATCAGTTAATGGTGATAGATACTTCCAACACCCATTTATGAATGGACAACAAAACTCACTTGTCAAGAGCTTCAAGATATTTCTGCTTTCTTATTTCAAAGAAAATCTTCTTTGAATAGCGGTTGTCCTCAACCTTCGTAAACCCACTTAAGTAGCGCTCTACTTCATCCCACTCACCGGCTTGAATTTGATCCTCAAAGTATTTCATATTGAAGAAATAACCAGATTCTTGCTCCAATCTAGACATTCATAAATATTATATCAATGACTCAATGTAAAAAATCCTTCTGCTGCAATGTCAAACTTGATATCAGTGGGAAAAAAAAATAGCTCATAACTTAAAAGTCAAAACATGCAAACGAGAATAGCAGTTGGTCTTCCGATTAATTTATACACACCCAAAATCATCAATAGAATTCAAGGTACACTTTTATTTCATCAGACAGTAACATTAAACTGAATTAAACATATAAAAGTAGGTACTTACTTATGAACTGTATCTTTGAATTTCTCCTCATCCAAGAATTGTAGAATTAAGAAAACTAGTTCCCTACTCAAGGAAGACATGGTTACCAAGCCGGAAGTCCCTAGCCACTACCGTGCAAATCTTCAGATTCAAACCAGGAACTTCAGGGAATTATGTAGTTTGGGCGTACACTGCAAAGCAAGTAAGGCCTCTAGCCTCAGAATTAATAAGAACTTGAAAGCTTTAGCTATATGTTTCTCTGATCACCTACTTAACGAAGTTCACTTCATTAAAAGAACTAAACTTATTATAAGTATAGTTAGCCACTAATGCTGAAATCACAGAGAGTAATTCTCAAATCACGTCACAATCGTCATACATCTTTCCATCTTTCAACTAAGCAGCACACCTCAAACAAAGACCAACGGCTTCAACTTCGAAACAGTTTCCTTCCTCTTCATACCAAGAACATGCCCCGCATTCATACCCCCAACAAGAAAACCTCAAAAATCTATCAGAAACGGCCTCCGAAGTTTCCCAAAAACGTCACCAATTTTAAAAGCACAAGAACAGAACATACATATTAAACAAAGACCGCGTATAGTGCAATCTATTTCAACATTTTCGTCCTCTAAAATCCACAACAATGAGAGCTATTCGGAGCAGTTCTCAGGTCTAGTCATTCAAGATATTGAAACCAAAGCGCACATTTCAGGAGTAAAAGATGCCTTACAATAAAAGAGTTAGGGTTTATTCCTGTGCTGAACGGAGAGAAGAAACTACTCTGACTTCTTTCTTTCTTCTTCTGCTTCACCTTTCCCCGTATTCTGCACTCTGAAACCTTTTTTTTTTCTTTTTGCGATTATATATTCAGAAGAGAGAGAAAGAGAGACGAGGCTTTCATTATTATTAGTCTCTCTCACGAACCGTTTCGCGCTTTCATAGGAAGGGTATTCTTGGCTTTACACAATGTTCTGGAAGCTCAACCGGACGTATGACTAAAGGCCGGGAGGGGGTATGTGTGGGAAGGAGATGCTGGAAGCCTGCGAAGAATTTATTGAAAAGGGCAAAAAGAATTTGGAATTTATGAGAATGCCCTCTAAAAATCTAACATCACGTCAGGCATGTGCGTTCTACTTGCGAAAAATGAGAGAAAGACCCTTCCAACCAAATAACAAAAGGTTACTCTTTGTAACTGTTACTTCAAAATTTTAACAGAAATGTTAAAATTAACGACCCGCTGTTAGGTTACCATCAAAGTGAGATGATGATTTTAGAAGGGGCAAAATAGCGTCGCTTGAACGCCCAACCGATCCTTACCTCCCCGACCAATCTTCGGAAATGATACACCTTTTCTCCTCGAAATTGTTCAACTCTTCGTTCTCCTTGGCTAATTCAAGCATTGTTTACCCTGATATATTGCATACTCTGGTCGGATACCTTCAATTACTACCATACTTTTGTTTACCATGGAGAGCATCGGTGCAAATGGCACGGTCCAGTACAAGAGAAGAAGAACTCTCACCCAAACACAAAGGGAGGAGATCGAGATTGCAAACCAGGTATTTTCAGATATCCATCACTTAAAATTAACTTATTTTGGTTTTAATTTTGAACTATTTGAGCTTGGTGTCAGGTTTCTACTAAGTAACTCAATCTCTGGAAGGTAAATCGTTTCCGGATGCTTCCAAAATTGAGGTACATTGCATGTATACTAAAATATAATGTTTTAACTTTTTTTGTTAGAGATTAAATAATTCAGATGCACAACAAGTCATTCGACCATGGCAATCATCAATATAATGTTACTGTAATAGATTATAGTCGAATGCATTCGAATACGTTTTTTTATTAGTTCTCCTGTTTATTATAGATTCCAGTATTGAATTGCACCATTGAAATGGAGAAATTGCCTGAAATGAAGTTAACTTTGAAATCTTCTTTGGGAGAGTTCCAGAATCTAATGAGTGATGGACTTGGAGATCATCCAGAAGTCCTTACTTTGTTTAAGGAAAATACTCCTCATGCACATTTTTTGGATATTGAGTGTATTCCTCCCCCTTTATTTTTATGGCAACTCTTTGCGAGGGAAGCCAAAATAAAGAGGCAAGGAGAAATTCGATTTGTTGTGAAAGGAGTTCTTTTCAGGTAATCCTTAGAGTTTTTCCTTATAAGCGACATGAACTATTCTCAGCTCAACGCCATCTTTGAAAATTCAAATGAATTGACTTCAGCCAAGAATGAATTTATTGGAGCACACTTTCCTTCTACAAACAAGGGAAAGAAATTTGGTGTAGTTACATACAAGATGATTGGGCAATTTTTTCAGAATATGTGTAAAGACTTGGACTGCGAAAAGAATGAAGGCAAAGTGATGGATGCTGTGAAAATGGCCACACTTTTATTTATTGTTGTTGTTTTGTTAAGTCCCGCTGATCGCGACAAGTCCGTTATACCAGAGTGGATACTGCATATGATTGGAGAGTAAAGAGAAGTTAGAGATTTTCTGAAACACCCCAACTCGCATAACCCGAGCCAAAGGAGTTAACAAATTGGGTTGTTACTTAATTGGTATTCAGAGCACAACAATTTAGACATATTATTCAAAAACATTCAAACACCAAATTAAATACAAAAAAGTTTGAAGTTAAGTCTGTCACGTGCAGAAGCCTTGTAAATCGTGTTCTACAATCAATGTTGAAACCAAATAATTAATTAACGCAATAATAAAATGTCCATAATAAAAATGGTGACATCATCCATGAGGTCACGCATCAACATCCTCCCGGTTGGCCTCCTGATCAAAATCCCTACCTGCGTGCAGTCAAAGACAACAAGACTACACGCTCTGTTGAAAGCTGAGTGCGTGAGAAAAATATCTAATGTTTTTTAGTTACTTTGATGGATGCTTAAGTTTTGATTAAATGTTTTAAAAGCTGTTCTGGAAATAAGTTTCTTGGATACCAATTTAGTAGAAACCCAGTTTGCTAGCCCATTTATTGGGTTACGCAAGTTGGGGTGTTACAGCGCGAACATTTGCCTTCTTAAGTAAACGTTCATAGATTAATGGTCGTATCTCTTCTCGCGAATGTTTGTATATTTACGTAAACGTTCATGCCTGATCATAGATTTTTGAATCTATAAATAGGGACTCGAAAGTATGATTGAGACACTCAATTTCGAAGTGCTTGTTCTTGACTAACATCTTATCGAATTGAAGTATTTTGGTCCACCCCAAAAAAACTTTGATCTGAAAGTGTGTTAAATGATTTGTTAAACTATCAATCCGATTATCTCATTTTGCTCATCAAAGTTATTAATGATGCTTCGCAGCGTTCTTCATCCTCTTAAATTTCTAATAGTTTTACTTGAAATTGGAATACTGGTGTAAAAAGTAGAAACTTGTTTCAGTTTTAGATTTTTCTTTGCATTTTTATTCTCTTATGCATTAAAAACTATTTTTGTTGCCTTATTTCAGTGTTTACTTTGTAGACATTACATTTTCATTTGTAGAGTGTGTTTCGAAGTATGTCTGGAAATAGCCTTTGAGCTTCTACTTCATAGAAACACAATTTTAAGTATTTTCCAATTAGCTTTAGATTGTAGATTGTCACCTCAGAAGTGTAAATTATGCTCTAAAGTGCTTTTCACAAAGTTTGGGGTAAGTACTCTAATTACTTTCTACTTATTTAGCACATATGCCTTTTCAGGACTCACTACACTCACTACTCAAATAATCTAGTGTTCATTCTAAAACAATGTTACGTGAAACAATATGACGTTAAATCTAAAACAACGCAATGCTCTTTCTAAAATATTTTTTAATTACAAATTTGACATTATGTACCTCCATATAGTATGCCGAGATGTTCATTCTCAAATACCAATTTTTTTCTTTCTTTAAATATTCTTTTCTTTAACTTTTTGATCAAATACTATAATTGTCTTTCTTAGCTTTTTCTTCTCCCCCTCAAATTATTGGATGAATTTTGGTTATTTTGGCTCAAGGAAATTTTTGATGAGCCACATGTTTATTTCCTTAGAAAAAAAGTTTTTTTTTGGGGGGGGGGGAGTCTAAAAAGAAAATGTAGAAAGATCTTTGCAAGAGGTTTTTTACACGCAATTTTGTAAACTATGTAACTTAAAAGTTGTAGTTAGAGCATTATTCAAAATGAAATAAACTAAACAGGTGTTGTATACAAACATGTTAACAGCACTATATAACTGAAAAGTGTAGTTCGAGTGTTATTCAAAAGGAAATAAACATAGCAGGCGTTATACAAACATAGATGTCTTTTCTTCAAAAACAAGTTGGAAATATAGTGCTTACATTATTAGTACACATTGGAAGAACTACAACACCACCCACAAGATGTCTTCTACGAGACTATCTCATGAATAACTACAACAACAATTACAGTGTTATGATTATTATCTACGAAAAAAATTTGGCCATGTCCCTTGAACAGGACAAGTCCGGAAGAATGGGAAAAATTAGACTACATACAACAATAACCTAAATACATTTCTTACAATACATGAAAAACCTAAATACATGCAAGTCTAATAGTACATTAAAAAAACCGAACACGTTTATGATTCTATGCTTAACAATCAGAGAATCTGTTTTGTTCCACTATTTCTTCAACTGGAGGCTTTGAGAATGCGAACTTTGGTGGCAATTTTATGAGCGGTTCATCGCCAGTTAAGCTCTGGAAAGCCATTCCAAGTGCATATCCAAGGGCACGGCCGACGGGAATGGCAACTGCATTTCCAAGTTGGCAGTACCTGTGTCGCATAAAAATGATGAGGCTTTGAGACAGTGTATATGTTCTAAGCCAGCTACTATGGTGGGAACGTATTCTAATACCTATGGAATGATAAAATGGTTTAATTCCATTGTTTTTGTTCATTTTCTTAAACAACACTTTTATATCTCATATTCAGTTTTATCTTTCGTTTGATAGAATTTGTATTGTAGTCTTAAATACATAAATGTATTTACTATATTGTACTAATTAACATAAATCAAAGAACTAAATTTGTAGCCCATAAATAACTAGAACACTAAATTTCCATTCATCTTTGTAATAGTTTTATCCCTTACAAAACGAGCAAAGGACTAATGCCCCATTTTGTGGCAAGTGGTTTACCTTTCGGAGATTGTACCACAAAATCTATAGAAATCAGGAAACCCTTGTAGTCTTGCATACTCACGTATTGTGAGAACTCGGTCCTGATCAGGATGAAGAATGGCCTGCATAAATTCAAGGGATTTAGTAAGACCATGAAAGCCTCTAGAGTGGCAGGGACCCTACCCACCCCCACCCCGAAATATATAAATACATTTGAGGCATAAATATAATACTTCAAAAATAAGAAAACACCTCTTCAATACATTTTGACTACACATTTTAAAGACCTCTTCAATAACTTTGAGATATAATACTTCAAAATTAGAGAACATACATGGCTGAAGCAATTGGGGAAAGTCACTAGGGTTGCAACTGTCTCATCCCACCACAATCTCGCAAATGGCCTGAAAACTGAAGAACTTCAACAGAATATTTTGTAAAGAAACAAATAAAGGAAGATAAGGAACTTTACGAAGTTGCACCTCTTAGACTTCCCTTGCTGAAAAGTGAAGATACAATCAGGGACCTACAATTAAAAGAACACCATTTTATTCAAGAGTGCTTCTATTGTGGACTTAAGGTCCATATAAGAATACATGCACCTCATTTCAAAAGCTTATTGATAAAAAAAACTAGATTAAATAATTGCTTATTACAATATTTTGAAAATGCTTATATAACTTCTAAGAAGATCCATATTCTATGGGGGACCTTAGTTTCACCTTAGAACTTGCCTTTATTTAAAATGGTGAAATGGGGATGTGAGTGACCAACGTATTAATGAATATATAAAATTTGTAAGATTGAATACAAAAACAAATCATGTATCCTATATATTGTACGAAAAGTTAAAATAGAAAAGAGCATGTTTATAGCTATAATTGAGATACATTATATTTTAACACGGATAAACGTTGACCATTTTTGGCATTATATGCTAGCTATTAGAGGTTTGTGCAAAGCATTTGTGACAACTATTTGAATAGATGTTCAATGTTTGAATCAGTTTGTGAAAATTGCTAAGGAAAAAATGTTTGGTAAAATGAGTTGTTTGTGTGAGCTATTTAGGTCCCGTTCTCTACAACTTATTTTTGCTACTTATTGTAAATTCTTATTAAAATCAGATAATTAATGAAATTTTTTATTATCATTATTAATTATTAATTACATTAATAACATTAAAAATTATTATTATCATTATAAATAATAATTACAATAATAAAAATAACAATTATTATTATCATTATTAATTATTAGTTAATCATAATAGTAATTAATGAAAATAATAATTTTTGGTCATCATACTTAATAATAATGAGTAAAATAAAAAAAAAAATCAATATTCTTATTAACTAATAAAAATTAATAATAATGATAATAAAAATTAATAATAATATGTATTTTTACATATAATAATGATCATAATTATTATTATTTATTAATTATAATAATAATAGAGTTTAAAAATAATTATTATTTTAGTTATAATTATAACTAATAATGATAATCATCATCATTATTCATAACACTTAATAATAATGATAATAATAATAATAATAAATTATCAATACTACTTTCGTCCCTGAGTATATGTTTAGTTTTGACTTTTTTTAGTCAACCATTTTCAACCTTTGACCTATAATAAAATAAAAAATACTCCGTATATTTTATATTAATAAGATAAAATAATACTTATAAAATATTTTATATAATAAAACTAATGAAAGTAGTTTTGTATCAATATCTAATATCATTTTTATTTAATTGGAGGTAAGAGTTTATCAATTTTGACCAAAAAAAGTCAAAAGTGGACAAATACTCAAGGACGGAGAGAGTAATAATGAATAATAAATAACTATTATTATTATTATTATTTGAATTTGAATTAGATCCATCCAGATCAAATTAGATCCATCCACATCAGATCAGATCCATTTAGATCAGCATTAAAAAATTTAGTTCACATTAGATCAAATCAGTCGAAGAAAACACAACCTTAGAGTATTTAATGCAAATTATTGTAGATAAGAAAAAACCTATTCTAGAAAAAGCTTAAGAATGAAGCTTGTTGTAATACAACATTTTTAAGACCAAAAAGATGCCTCAAAAAGTTGTTTATCAAACACCTGCAAGGGCTATTTGACCGACCTATCATTGACCTCAAAAATCTCCTTTCAGAAAAAAAGCTATCCAAATTGTTATGTGCCACAACTACTTTAGGGAGGTGGATTTAAATTTAAAGTGCAAATAAATTATTTGATTGTACAGAATTAAGAAACCTTTGTCTTCTATTCTTAAGACGAGTTCTCTTGGAAACAACCTTTCTACCTAATTTATCATTTATTTGTATGAAATAAAGTAACCATAATCTCTTATGCATGAGCTAGAGGTCTAACATAAACAACCTCTCTACCTTTCTTGTGTAGGGTTGTAGGGTAAGGTTTGCATACACCCACCTATCCCAGACACTAAAAGTGGGATTTTACTAGATTAGTTGTTTATTTTGTACTCTCTTTGTCCCAGAAAACTTTTCCACTTTCACTTTTCATCCGTCCCAAGAAACACTTCCACTTAATTAATTGCACATATATCCCTACTAATTATAAACCTACCTATCACGTCATATCTATTCACGATTAATCTATTTATCACATTCTATCCTACCCTACAAAAAGTAAGGGCAAAATTGAAAAGTAACACCAAAATTACACATTCCTTACATCTCATCTTTTTCCAAAGTGGAAAAGTTTTATGGGACGGAGGGAGAATAAAACTAACACCACCAACAACAACAACAACCCAGTTAAATCCCACAAGAGTAGGGTCTGGGGAGGGTGTGTGTACGCAGGGTGTGTGTACGCAGACCTTACCCCTACTCGAAAGTAGAGAGGCTGTTTCCAAAGAGACCCCCGGCTCAACGTCGAAAGTTGCATTGCTTGACTAACTGCTACTTCATTAATTAAAGAAGCGCAGACAGTTTAAAGATCCATTTTGATTTATTCCATCACACCCCAAAGCCAAAAAATGGTGAAATTTTGGCTCCATCGGAGATGATGGAAAAATAAAACTAACACCAAATTAATGAAAAAAGCAGCATGTTTCATGCCGAATAACCTTCATGTCACAATTTTCATTACGAACTAGTGTTTGTCAAATTAGTTTACTATTCAGTTTTTTTATGTGTTCAGGTTGGAGAACATAGAACCAAAATGAAACCAAATATCTTGGCTTGATTTTGGATTGATTTCAAATTAAAGTTGATTTAATGTTATTTGCAGATGAGTTTACGAAACTAAAATTAAAGTTTGGATTGGTTTCAGTTTGATTTTAAAGGGATTTTTTGGTTTATTTCAGTTTGTGAATAAAAACTAGTACTTCGTATAAAAGTATATATTCCTAAGAAAGGAAATCTAGAAGCTCAGTGAGTCCATGGTTTTGTTTGCCATCAGTGCCAATTCCAAACAGATCCAAATTAGAAACAAGCTGATTGACCAGATTACCAGGCCTTGCCAAGAGACAGGAGAACCCAAAGTCTAAACTTCAAACTTTGTAGGGCATGTCAATGCGTACATGGTTTTGTTTGCCATCAGTGCCAATTTTTTGTTTTTTAATTCAGTACATATTGCATGTAATTTTACATTCTAGTTTTCCCCTACATAAGGAAATAAAGAATCAATCTTATTTGTATCAATGTGTTATCCAATACTACTTGTTGAACCAAACCGAAACATTCTGAACAAAGGTTCGTTGTTCCAACATACCTGATAGGATTTTCTTACATTGACCCATTCCAATGAATGATCAGTAGCAAGAAATTGTGTTTTTCAAATTTTTTTGAGGCATCATGAAATGATAGGTTTCAAAAATGATTTCAGATCATGTGAACTGTGTGCAATCCTTATAGAATGCATGCCAAGATATAGGACCAACGAGGAAAAAATCTAGCAAATTTGTCCAAACACATTGTAGTTAAGAGTGCTCACAAGTGGCCTTCCTGATGGTAGTAATTCTGGTTCTTTATTCGGATCACGATGAGCTGTATTATTCACAAGAATGACCCCAGGAAAATCCAAGAAATTTGCTCCCTGGTTACTTAAGATATTAGAAAACAACAGCAAGCTCATAAAGGTAGCTAAAAAAATACCACCATATCCATCATACCTTTCGATGTGGGATTAGAGAAACTCGTGTGATATCTTCTTCAGAGAGTAGACGAGGTCGATGATCATATAAGACAGGATCTTTCATTCCTCTCACTTCAGTAGATGCAGTGCTCCCCATTATCTCTGGAATAAAATACAGAGTGAAACACTGCGTATCATATCGGCCAAAGTATCAAGTGGTAGAAAATAAGAGTGTATATCCATATGCACCCTAGTATGAATAGGCTTATTCACACAATCACACATGTAAAATGACACCAGAGTCCAGAAGTATATAAAGACTACAAAGTCATCACATTCCCTTCAAAGCTGTACCACTAGTTACACTCACAGGAATTTTAAGTAAATTGGGAAAGATTTAACTTGTATTTTCAGCAAGATGCGGGTACTAAAAAGTATAAACTAAGGCTCTGTTCATTTGATTCGTAAAAACAGAGTTGGATGTTGGAAGAAACTGGAAGAAGTTCAAAGAAACTGGTAGTTGGAAAAACTAGGAGTTGGAAGAAACTGGAAGGAGTTGGAGGAAACTAGGAGTTGGAAGAAACTAGAAGAGTTGGGGGAACCTAACAATAAAAGTATGATGAAGTGAATGCAACAAATTCACTGCAATAGAAGGGATACCAATTTCTGGAAGCATTATAGTTGTGTCAAATAACCTACAGCAAACCGAAATAAATCATAACATAAAAACAAACCCTCAAAGAACAGAAAATACCATGTTCAGGTAATCGAATATACTTCTGGAAATCTGATTCTGGAGGCATACAATATGGCATTTCTTCACGAACTTCACGGCTTGTAACCTAAGGATTGCCATTGTTGAGTATAAACATCATAAGAACTATAATAAAAAGTAAACTTTTGAGTCAAATTGAATTCTTTTGTAGAATGTTCAAGTCATTGTTACAGCTGGAAGATCAGATAAAGCATCCTGAAGAACAAGGGCTTCCTCAAGTTCACGAGGTTGTCCTTCATCATAAGCAACAACATTGCGCTGCAAGAAGAAATTTGACAAATCATTCTGGCATATTAATTACTAAAAGTAGGAATCCTAGGAAGAATATGAATCATGAGTTAAAAAGTGAGATTGTATTATTGTATATTAATGCTAGGAATGTGAAAGAGTACCTCAAACTCAAGTGAAGGCCAATGTCTCATAATAACATCATGTGTAGGGAGAGGAAATGGCGGCAATTTCTGGGGAAAAGAAATAATTCATATTTTGTGAAGAGTGTGTATGAGCGAGTTATATTGGGCTAAGGACGATCTCAAAATTGGGGTCTCTTGGAGACAAGTCTTCTCCTGTCAATGACTGTGTGTGTTAAGTGGTTAATTAATACTTACAAAAACCAGTTATGGAATTTCTTTTGACTTCAAATGACTCATTATAATTACACATTTTCCTTTTTATTATAATGCATGGAAATATGTTTTTAAGCTCCAATTGATGGACAAATAATTACTCCCATCCCACAATACATGTGTACGTGGGGTTCAAGAGACCACATCTGTCATGTTTTCATCCAAAAGAAAGAAAAACACATACCTCACTGGAAAGTGCCGCCAATATGAAAACACGCAATCGAAATTGTGGAAGACCATAACAACCAGCTGCAAGAATGCCAAGCCTTGTTTGGTATCTCACACGTACCAAACGGCTTAAAGCATATCGTCCAAGAGAGCCTTTATCAAACCTCAATATGTCAGGCACATTCTCCATGAAGACATACTTAGGCCTTAGGAATTCAACAACATCCATAAATATAATGATTTGGCGATTTTTTTCATCTTCCAATGGGGCATTGACATTTCTGTGGCGATTATAGCCACTAATACCTTGACAAGGGGGTCCCCCACATATCACATCAACATCACCCTGACAGATATCATTGAATTGCAATGCAGAATTAGACATTTCTAATAATTATTACTACAGTGAGGCAATAGAAATCTGAGCAAAAGATGATCATTACCGGAAGAGGTAGAATTCTAGATCTTTTTCCCTTTCTCACAAAATCATGGATGCTCTCTTTAGAATTTCTGGGACAGGAAGAAACAGAAGCTTATAGCAGACACAAACCCGTCAATGCACAACTTAAGACTCAAATATAATTTATGCCGATCAAAACACCCGTCTTCTAGACTCTAAGGTCAGTTTGGATGGAGGGATTGGCAGGTTTTGCGTGGGGGTTAGTGGGGTAGTGTGCTACGCACCTTGATATAAATTTGAGATTTGAGAAAAATTAAAGGGATAGCATAATAGGTGATCATTTTAAAATGTGAATCATCCTATATTTGTTTCCAAAAACATTCTATTTATCAAGATTTGTTGTTCTCTTCATCTCAATCTTTTTTTGTACTCCCTTTTTCCAAAACTCATGTTCCACTTTAGTATTCAATATTCACACGGTCAAGCTACACCTTTTCTTAGATATTTTCATTGATCATTTGATAAAATAAAATAGTCAAGCCACCTCTTGTTTTGTATAACTTTTGATGTAGTTCTTCAGTATATAAATTTACTTTTTAATGATGCACCAATTTCTAGCAGACTACCAGCGAAGGCGCTTAGTCAAAAGAGGCCATCAAAATTAAAGCGTACTTTATTTTGCAGAACCACACTTGGGAGTTAGTTGACCTAACTCCAAACTGCAAACCGTTAGGATGGAAGTGAATATTTCAAAGAAAAATTAAACACGATGGTTCCTACATCAATACAAAGTTAGACTTAAATTAAAGATTATAGTTGGTGAGAGGGAAGAGGACTTTGGAATTACTTAATTTACTTTGATACTTATTCTCCTATGATGAGAATAAAATCCATTTGGATGATATTTGCATTCCACTCTGAAACTTCAAAGTTCATCAAATGGATGTGAGAACAGATTTCCTTAACAGAGATCTAGATGAAGAGATCTACATTCAACGACCTAAGACGATTAAGGTTCACGAAAGGAAAGGAAATGAAAGTCTATAAAGTTAATAAATCATTGTACGGCCTTTGTTAGCTTATTCGAATACGTGTATAATATGTTTGTTCGTACGTTTGTGTATAATACGGGTCACATTTTAAAAATACATCTTATTATGTACTCCGTACTTTATACGTTCGGGGTACGTATACGGATACGTTCGTGTTTTATACGTTTGATTTTTTAAAAACACGGCTTATAAATAGTGCAAATATTTTTAGTAAGAAAGACAGTTTTAACATTAAAATTGAATACAAATACACCATAAATAATCTTTTAAGCAATTTAAAATTGATTAAAATGAAATTAACTTTATATTTTTCATTTTTAGAATGAAAAATACAATTACGAACTTATATTTTTAGAATTTAGATCACACAAATGAAATCAAATTTATACCACCAAAACTAAATTCAAAAAAATTTATTACATTTTAAAAATCTAAAAAATAGAGATAAGGTTGTTCCCTACTATTTGTTAGAGCTGTAGGAGTTTTGGACTCCCAACCAGATGGATTCAAAGAGACTGGTAGACCATGAATGAGATTTAATTAACAAAAGACGTTGTTGAATGACTTGAACTACATTTTGGCTCTAATATTTTTACAATTGTTGAGTCGACAAATTTTGATAATTTGTATTTTTGGTAGAAGACAATCAAGTAAATTGATCTCATAAAAAAGTGACCTTCTAAATTTTGGTTGTTGGAGTCGAAAGAAGTTTTTTTACAGTTTAATACGTATAAAATTCGTAAATACGTTTAGGGTCAAAAATACGAGGATTATACGTTTGTCACTTGAAAAATTTGCATTCAAGAATATTATACGCGTATTAAACGTACGGGTGTATAATACGCCTATTGTACGCGAATAAGCTAACAGAGTGCCAAAATAATAACATGAGAAGCTAGACAAAGTGATGATTAACTTTGGCTTTAAAAATCAATGGACCAAATAAATTTATGTGAAAAAAGCTTTGTGGTATGTTATTCTATGTTAGTACATAGAGTCATAGACGACATACTCATAGTGGGTGATAGAATTTAACTGGATTGGGTGATAAGACACTTGGGTTGAATCACATTAAAATATTGAATCCAATCGATTAGTTACTTCAACTCAAGAGCTTATATAACGATTATTTTACTCTTGGATTTCCAATGTGGGGTGCACTCTAACAGTGGGTAACAATGAGAAGATTAAATATACCAAACATGAAGGACATAGGAAAGTAATTCTTGGAATTAAAATATCTAAAAGAGTAAATGTTTTGGATAGATTTAACTACACTCAATTGTACTTAGCCTATACTTTCGACAACTTGAGTAGATATATTAGTAGTCCAAGTATTAAACATAAGAAGATTGTAGTACAGGTGATGAGATGCCTACTGTATACTCAGAATCAAGGACTGTGCTACACTACATATCCATTGGTTATAGAGGGATGCATGAATGTGAACAAGAATCTGACATGGAAGACAAAAGTCACGAGTTGATATGTCTTTAATCTTTATGATAGCGGGTGGCTATATCTTGAATAATCTCAAAGCAAACATTGATAGTTAGGTCCACCATGGAGTATGAGTTCATAGTTTTAGACTTCTAGATAAGTGTGAAGAGGGAGTTAAGGACGTCCAGTTAGAATTTGTGCATGATATACTATGATTTAGACCAATGGTAGTACAACTCAAAGACATCCCAATCTAGTCAACAACATGTAAAGAAAGTATACCTTATAAGGGACAAGCTCAAAGGTGGAGACATCTACCTGTTCTTTACAGGTTTTGCAAGCATGAGATGTTGTCTATCTCCAAATTAAATTTTCATTCATGTGGAGGATTGTTGGAAATTTTGGCTAAAATAGGCATTTAAGCAGCAATTTTTGGGATTAATTATCAAATGGGTCCACTAGATCTTAATTGTTATTTGATGGACATGTGGTGTGTTAAGTACACGAATGTTTTGATGTATTATACGCCAAAAATGGGTAACGAGTGAATGAGGAATTGATTTTCAAAATTGGCCCGTTGACTAGAAGAAATGGTTGGGTTTGTGTGGAAGTTTGTCGCACATAGGAAACTTTGCCCATAACATGCTCCCTTTTAAAGAAAAGCATTGATGAGCTTATTAAAATCTATTATGGGGGTTACGAGATGAAATCTTATATGTGCCACTGCCACTGAATGCAATTCTCAGGCATCGGGTGAATTGTCTTTATGCTCTTTGGATCAATTTTCTATTACTTTTTAAGTAATGGTCGAAGTAATCCATTTTATTACCGAGTTAACATATTGTTAATCTCCAATTAAATGAGACAAAATTTGACCCAATATGTAACATAATGAACCACTTGCAATCAATAACTCGTCACTAATGGCCATTAGTGCATGGTTACGAAAACTGGAGAGAATTTGGGACAATGCGAGTATTATTTATTCTTAATCTATCAAATTGGACTAGAAGATAGAGTTTCAAAAGACTCAGATGACACATCTGAAAGATTCAGATGCCAGAGAAGATCTAAAATACTCACCCAGTATTCTCCCAAGTCCATTGGGGTCTGGGAGGTCAAGATGTATGCAACTGTACTTTTGTGTAAAAAGAAGAGAGGCTGCTTCTGTTAGACCATTTATGGCTGATGCATTGCTGCAATTACTGCCCAAAACTTTGCAAGAAGTATGAACCAAGAAAGTTTAATGTGTCAAACTTCATAGACCAGATGTTTTATTTCAAACGGAAAATAAACAATATTAAAAACAGTTACTGAAAACATTAGAACATAAATATTCAAACAAGACTAGATCAAACTTGAGAGATTTAGACCACACTACAAAAGTTCTGAGACTAGATCTTAATGCGTATATTTTTAGAATAAATCACATTCTTTTTTTCAGTTTTAGGCAAAGAGAACAGGTCTTAAGTTCTCCAAAGTCTACTTTCCAAAAACATCCATAGAAATTAACCCTCAAGGTATCACACTAGCAAATTTGTATATCTATTTAACTTGAAACTGGCTATATGATTTTTTTTAACTTTGAGTCAATTCTCACAAACTCTAAATAAATCAAAGCCCTTGACATAGTAATTTAAGTTAATAAATTCTCTGTGCATCTCCCTCTCCTAGTTCCTACTACTAAAATGATCCAACATTTCCTTTCAATATACAGATTGGAATGCCGTACGAATCCACAAATAACATCAATGGATATTTTTCTTTCTCAACTTGTCCTTGAAAGTGTTTTTGCATGGCTTTGAATCAAGGAATTTTCAGAATGATATCTACTAATTAACTATATCCATCTAAAGATACTAATCAATTGCAATTTATATTCATTATATGAACCAATTACTTGTTCACATCCTAAAGCATAATATCATAAAATAGTCTTGACCTAAAAGCCATGAATGATAGAGGAAAAGATTAAAATTATTCATATCCAATTAATAATACCACTTAAAAGATGATTGGTTCTTAGGATTCTTTTTTAAATTTTCCTTATTACCATAGGCTTCCCATTTCAAAATTTAGTAATTTACTTAGCTGGTTGTTACATGTTAGAACTTAGAACTTCAAGACTTGGGGTAATCACAATGGTTCTTTGGAATTACATGGAAGAGAAGAAAGACGGGGAAGAGTGTGGAGCATAACCACAGTAAAATCTAGCCAAGTAACGTAAACCTTTACTTACTTCAACCCATCAATAGGCTCCCATGTGTCTTCACTAGGTCCAAACCCTTTCCAGCGTACCTAATCAGATGGCAAGGTCAAATGATTTCACCGTAGAATGCTTAAGCAAGACAAATTTGACACAACTAAAAAAGGGAGAACGAGCTACTCAAGTCACAAAACTGATGTATCCATCAATGAAGCCAGCATGGTGCAATCCATAAAAAGAAATTGCTGCTGGAGCAGAACTTTTACAGATCAGTGATTCTTCAAAGATAATGAAAATAGTTTTTGTTTTATGTCCCATACGGCCATATCAGTGGATCACCTTGCAGTAAAGAATATTGTAATGAACTCAAAATGTTCTAGAATTGCTCATGGTAACCAACAAAAAATTCTTGCATGATCGTTTTATGTTCTTTTCTCTTTCTTCAATAATAATTTCAAAAGCATACTACAATTTCAACTACTCAAATGTCTCTTAGATATGTTTAACAATAGAAATAGAAACCACAGGGTCTAAACTCTTACACTTAGAGCCCTTTATTTTCATATATAAACATGCTAAAGTCTTTGCAAGAAATCAAGTTTTCAGTTAAAAAATTATGTGAGTAACCGAACTATACTTTTCTTATTTAGGAGTTTTTTCTCTATGCTAGTGCTTATTGACTTATTGCTGATAAGCAGTTTTTAACTTATAAGCTACTTATAAGTCAAATATTCTTTTGTGGAAGAAAAATGACTTAAATGATAAATAAATCATTTATAAATATATTTATAAATGGTGAGGAACAGTTTTGTAAATAATTTGGTCAAAACCGAGAAACAAAAAAATGGCTTAAAAATAAGTAGCTAAGACCTACTTATTTTTTATGGCTTAGAAGCAGCTTATAAGTCAGCTTATAAGCACACAGAAGCATGTCATCAGCTGACTTAAATTTAAAAACTGTTTATAAGTAGTTTTGACCAGCTTATTAGCACAGAGAAACTCTCACTTAATATGGTATCAGATTAAGCCAAATGTTCTAGGTTTAGAGCTCCTCACGATCTTAAAATAAGAGTGTTCCCATGTAATACTATACTTCATTGTCTCCAATAAAAAATTACATTTAGTTAATGCAACTTTCGACACTCTTCATGTGTCATGTGGAAACACCCGCTCTATGTTTTAAACATAGGCTTCGTACATCTGACCCCCCTTACCCCGCAATGAGCGGGTGAGCCTTTGACGCACTAGGGGTAGTGCTGTTGTGTCACTAGGTGATGAACCTGGATAGCTTAACATTTAGCTAAGATGGATCACCTCAATTAATATGGTACATAATTGAGCCCTAGGTATTCAAAAGATTCTAAACTCGAGCCTCTTCAGTCTCTTCCAATGATTAAGAAAATGTAGTACTGCCCCTTCTTCTCTGGGCCTTCTCATGTAGTTGTACAGATGACAAGTACCACCACACGGTTCGAGGATATGTTGCAACCCTTTTCCAAGAAGCCCGATGCAGGAGGACCAGAGGAGCCGATCATTGTGCCACAAACACCATTAGCATAGCCTCCCTCTGGTGAACATTTTCAACAGTTTTGATTCTTCGTCAAATAGAAATGATTAGTGAAAATTTTAAATTAGGTAGGGGATATTCAAATGGGCTAAAATACAGTTGGGTCAAACCAATGATACTCAAAGGTTGAATCTAACTAATAAGCTAGCTCAACTCAAGATCTTTTAACTCATCATTCTTTTTTTAATCTTTCTGGTGCGAGAGTATAATGCTAGAAATGTAGCAATAAAACATTGAAAGGACAACGGGCTGCTCGGATGAGACTTTCATATAGACAGCCAATTTAAACGAGCCACAAGCTGCTGGACATAAGCTTTCACATAGGCGACTATGCTAAATACTCATGGGCCGATGGAAATGACTTTGAGATGAACAACCGGACAAACAACGCGAGCCAAAACCTACTATGACGCAATTATAAATTTAGGACTAAGTGCTATATACTGGGAAACAGGACACCTGAGCCAAATCATATCAAGCCCAATGGATTATGTAGTTCAACTAAAGATCTTATAAACCAATCATTGTTTTCTTAAGTTTCTGATATGGGATTTTAACAATTAGCATTTACCAAAAAGGTGGGAAAAAGAGTTTCAAGTATATTATCAAATGATGTAGTAGTTTGAGAGTATATTAGTTAGCAATCAAGGAGTCAGTCAGAATCTTATAAGTAGGCCTTACTCTTTAAATAGAAACACAACTAAAAAGAGTTGTACGATATTTGTTTAGGCCAAAATGCACTTTTCTCCCTCTACCAGGCGGCCCTAGGCCATCTCCTCTCCAATGAAATTCGATCATCTTCTTTTTTATTCTCTTCCATCATCTTCACGCAAAACGTGCTAAATGCTCTTTGCATTCAAAAGTAGGGTTAAAAATTCCAACATCAAGTTTTGGGTTTGGTACAACGGATGTAACATATGATGCTCCTGCTTGAGGGGAAGGTTTATACTCCCTCCGTCCGAGAAATTTCTTCCCACTTTCCTTTTTGGTCCATCCAAATTCTTTTTATCATTTCGGTGTTAGGCAAATTATCTTTTTTCCTTTCGACTCATCTTTTCCCCCCGTTTAATACTTGTTCCTTCAAATTTGTAGACCGCCACCACCACCACGATATGCATCTCCCTCCCTCCAATTCTTCTTCTACCTCACCTTTAATGCTTAGTTTTCCAAAAAACTTGCTCCAGGGTACCCGTATATGTGGTCGGAGCTCCCAGGGTACCACATTCTCCCGGGGTACCACATTATCCAAAATAACTGTAGGGGTGCTTAAAATTTGTGCTACGAGAGTACATTTCATCCAAAGGGCTGTTAAAAGCGAATAATTTGTTAGTTTGACGCTAGATTTTCTATTTTTCCCCTAACATAATTACTCTGGGGAACCTCAACTTTTATACTAAAAACTTGCTGGTCGATATTGTGCCTTTGTGGTGAATCTTCTTCATCTATTTCCACCAAGCCTTCTTTCCGACAAATCTCCGGCCATGAGAGGAAAGTTCAATGTTCTAGACATTGGAGACTTCAAACTATCATGAAAAAATGCAGAGTATGATTCTGACGCATATGAGTAAACAAAAAAATCCCTTTAATAAAAAAATCCATTTTTATGTTTCTTAAAGATATGAAGTATGAGTGCATTTAAAAAAAATTCATTTTCCAGTTTATTGATCCATTAAATGAATAAACATGGAAATAAATAAAAATTGTGAAAAGGAAAAAAGTGAAAATGATTTTCAAAACAAAAAAGATACTTAGGGTAGTGAAAATGCAATAAACAAGATGTAAAAGAATGCAAAATATTTCTTTAGATTTTTAATTCTTTCAATCAGAATTAAATTAAATTACTATCAGTATCTTATTTTATAACATACTTTTTTTTATTTGGTTAGGTTTTTTGTTTTTATATTTTTTCCTGTTTTTAAGTTTTACAATGTTTTGTCTTTCCTGTAGAGACTATCTAGATGGGTTCAGAGGGATTGAAGCTAAGAAAGCAACACTCTATGAGCAGAGGAATCAATTGGGTGGTATTGGTTTTGGACGATTGTTACCAAAAGAATGTAAGCCGGAAATAGAAGAAAATTGGACTTGGAATCGCTGGTAAGAAGGTGTGGCGGAAATAGACAAAGAAGATTCATTGGAAAGGAACAATAAGGACCTGCGAGTTCTTAGTATAAACTTGAGGTACCCCGGAGTAATTATGCTAAGGGTAAAATAGGAAATTTAGGGTCAAACAAACAGATTATTCACTTCTAATGGCCCTTTGGAGGGAATGTACCCTCGGAATACATTACCACAAATTTTAAGGACCCTGGAATTATTTTGTATATATGGTCCCCTGGGTGTTCTTACCACAAAATAGGGGTACCTGGAGCAATTTTTTGCTTCTTTTCCTGTCACTTTTCTAGCTTTAATGCTTTATAAGATCTACTCCATGAACAAGATCTACTCAAAGATAAAAGGGTTCCAAACTGAAAAATAGTAGTGTCGGACGACAATGTTTTGAATGGTGGTGTTCTAAATGGCAGTGTTCCTTACGGCTATATTCATTTTTTTTGTACAAGCAGCAGCGGACATTAGATTTGATATATAGTGTAGAAGGGCAATATAGGAAAGTCAATACAATTTTTTAACTCTCCTAAATAAGTGTGTCAAGTCAATTTGGGGATGGAGGGAGTATTATAATAATATACGTACTAAGAATGGAAGTGGTCTAGCCCATTATATGTAGGTCTAATTGCATCAC